TTTTCCTAAAAGATGGATATGTGGCTTGTCCTCTGCATGGAACAGACCATTCATTTCTTCCTCCACTTTCATTTCAGTTGCATCAAATCAAGATCAGCCAGAGCTCTAGAATGATTCTTGAGTTTCTGCTCTGGGGAAGAAGGTTTTTGTCTCAGTTCCCCATCAGATTGGCTGACTGTGGAACATGCTACCACTGCTATACCACATGAAACAGAAATAATCAGCCTCGTCTTCTGCCTGAAGGTTGGTGATGGTTAAATAGCCATTGTTGCCTGATCGGGTTCCCGTGAATTGGTCTGGGATCCCTGGTCCCCTGCTGCTGCAGCCATCACAGTGTACAAAGCGAGGAGACTCTCCAGATCTCTGCTGAAGCCAGCGAACAGTGTTTGGACTGCTGCTGATGGCACAGGAGAGTTTAATGGTTTCTCCTGGAGATCCAGACTGGGAGGCAGGCTGAGTCAAGGTGGGCTGTGATGTAACACCTTGGTGAGAAGGAAGGAGAAAGCAATAATGAAAACTTGGCACATAGTCTGGGCTTAAAATGTTACCAAAGCATCATTTTTGATGATCATGTAGTGGAGCCTGCTACTCCTTCTCTGGGTTGTGTTAAAATAAATCCTCCTATATTTACCTGAAAAATCACCAACAATTGCCAAGAAAAGTAAAGTCCAGGCCATGGTGAGCTCCTTTGAAGACTAGCACTTTCTAAAGTGAACGAACACCTCTTTGGGATATGCCTGTCTTCTTATTTGAACCCACCTGGATTTGAAGAATGGTCTACCATGCAGATGCAATCAAGTTCATTGGCTTTTCTTGAACTTATGCTCCTCCACCTGACAAAATCTGCCGACCTATCAAGGCCAATGAGCAGAGGAGGAGGTTTGCATAAGTGTTGAAAAATTGCTTTTAACTTGCTGGTGGGGGGAAGAGGGGTTGAATGAGAAGAAACGCCTCATTCACAGAAATAAAGGCACATGAGAAACAGTTGTTTCTTAGACAAATTGAAGCAGCTACCTTGAACAGTACATTTTGAATGTAAAGAAAGGGCAGTTTTGTAGTACAGTACTTGGTTGGTTGGCCATGATTGTGATTTCTTTCAAAGAATGTGAAAGGGACTCTACGTTATTTACTCGCATTTACTACACAGATAATGACAATATTGATTAGTACCAAGTGGTGTGGAACCTAAGTGGAAAGCTTTCTTCCTTCTCCTACAAATCCCTTATCATACGAGTTTATCCAGAACACTGGAGCAGTTGTGGCTTTGATCTTACCCTTCATGGCCACCCTAAAGTTCTCATGGTATACAATGTTGGAGCTCAACAATCTTGGTTGTTGTTGTTTTCTCCTTTTGCACAGCTTTCTGGGCAAGATTTTCAGAAGTGGTTTGTCCTTGCCTTCTTCTTCCTAGGGCTGAGAGAGAAGGGCTGGCCCAAGGTCACCCTGCTGGCTGCGTCCCCAAGGCAGGACTAGAACTCACAGTCTCCTGGTTTCCAGCCTGGTGCCTTGACCACTGCACCAAACTGGCTTTCTCAGAAAACATACTGGATTCTAAATCTAGGTGGTCAGAACACTATTCCTATGATAAAATAACACATCCCCAATCAAATAAAACTTATTTGGGCTTATTATGGATCTCGGGTGATACCACATGCTCAGAAGATGTCTGGGTTCCCACAATATGATGAACCTCAAAGGACACACCCCATTTAGTTCCTCTGCCAACTCAGCCCAGAAGAATGAAACCAGATGCTAAGGACTGCAGCTGTTAGGGCTACACCACTGAATGGCAAGCATCTGTCACAGAACTCAATGAGGTTTATTTCTGAGAAGTTGAGCATTGGATTGGTGGGGTTTATTTTCCATGAATTGAACCCAAAATCTTTAACCAGATAGCACTTGGATGGATCCTACAGAACCCTTTCCAGCAGCAAGTGGAGTTGCCCATTTCTTCCCCCCATGAGTATTAATTTCAGAAGTAAAGCTCGCAGCAATTTTTTCTCAAAATAAAGTTGTTGGGCAAAAATAGGAAGAAGAAATTCTCCAGAGATCTGCCACATCCTATTCAGATATCTGAACCCCTTGATAACTTCTATATGCCTGTTCTCTCTGATTTGCATGGGACATTTTGCAGGTGGTAAAACTGCTCAGTTGGTTGCACATCGCACGTTGGGACAAGCTTTGATCACCTCTAGGAGGATGGTGCCCCCTGCTGTCCAAAGGCATCACTGGAGACATATAATTCCATTGCAAATAGGTTTCAGAGAGGGGCACCCCCAACCCAATCTTTCCTACATGCTTTCGGTTTGCTTAGAAGCGGACACGTTGGTGTCATAGATCTTATTCTCCAGAGACTCATTTCACTTTGATACCAAGAGCATTCCATGCAATTCTGCTTTGCAGAAAACCAACAGCGTTTCATGCTATTCTGCTTCTTTTTTATATCGTAATGAAAATATTTGATTCCACACAAAAAGTCCAAGACAACTTCAGGAACTTGGTGCAAGCTCATGAAGATATAAACTGGAAACTCAGTTATTCCAACATTGAGGCTATTTCAAGAAGCCTCAAGAAGTGGTCTTTAATAAGTGATCTTCAATAAGTGGTCTTCAATAAGTGGTCTTCAATAAGTGATCTTATTCTCCAGAGACTCATTTCACTTTGATACCAAGAGCATTCCATGCAATTCTGCTTTGCAGAAAACCAAGAGCATTTCATGCTATTCTGCTTCTTTTTCATATCGTAATGAAAATATTTGATTCCACACAAAAAGTCCAAGACAACTTCAGGAACTTGGTGCAAGCTCATGAAGATATAAACTGGAAACTCAGTTATTCCAACATTGAGGCTATTTCAAGAAGCCTTCAAGAAGTGGTCTTTAAGAAGATGCGAATGCTACTGATTTTATGGACCCCTAATGGAGTTTTCTCTCTCTCTCTAATATCACACATTATACATTATATATATATCAGTTTTATCTCTTTCCAAGCGTTACAATAATTTCAAAAGAGAGTACCCGGTTCCTTCTGTCATGCAAAGCTGAAAATCATTCTTAGAAACCAAAGGCAGATTTTGTTCCATCATTACTATGAATTGGCTAATTAGGCCCATTTCTCAAATACATCGCTTTAATTTCATGCATTTGTTGAGAAACAGATGATACATTGACCTTGACAATACAGTTTTGGCAAGCTGGATTTTCTAAGCCCTCCTCAATTAGATTGATATGCTTTGAGAAATTCATTAAAAGAGATGAAAGGTCTCTTATTAAATCAAGTCAATGCATTGAAATAAAGAGAACAACATGATTAAAACCAACATCTCCTCTTAGTTAATAGTGATTTTTTTTTTCTTTTGAGAAGAAATTGGAGTTTGCTGTTTCTTTACCTTGACCTGGTATTTGCTGGTGATCTCCCATCCAAGTACAAAAGATGGTTGAACTTTTGGAGATTAACCAAGGTTGGCTGGGTGCTGCCCTCTAGCCTGGATATTTTAATTATATTCAATTAATTAAATCAGCATGTAATTAAAATCAAATTGATTTTAGTTTTTATTTGGGCCCCAGCCATGTTTGGAGACCATGGACTATAGGACTCTACTCAAAAATCTTGGTTTAAAAAAATAATAATAATAAGCAAGGAGTATTTGGGAGAAGGTGTTCAAGCAGAAATGGATGTCCTTTAATGAACTTGCTTTGGGTAGCATGCAGAACCTGGAGATTTATGGTGGTCTTTGACCGTAATAAAGATTGGTTGTGGAGAATCTGGAGATCTGTGTATGAGCATGGGCGGGCTGGTCAACATCTAAGGATAGGTGCCTTTTCTGTTCTGTTTCTTAGCATTATAATTTTCACAAAGCTTTCAGTTTTGAAACTCCAGTTAACAGTTGACATGAGTTCTAACCCCTTGAACAGATGCAAGAAGATGAAATGTTTTTGTCTTGGTTCCTCATCAGATTGTATCATCGTGCAACACACTAGCACTGCCAAACCAAGCATTGCAATAATAGTCAGCCTCATCTTCCACGTTCAGGTTGGTGATGGTCAAATAGCCGGTGTTCCCAGATCGTGATGCAGTGAATCGGTCTGGGATCCCTGATCCCCTGCTGCTACAACCATTACAGTGTAGAAAGTGAGGGGTTCCTAATGATTTCTGCTGAAACCAGTAAACGTGGTTCACGTTAGCGTTGACAGTGCATGACAATTTAGCTTCTTGTCCCAAGGATGCTGATGCAGAGGCTGGCTGAGTCACTGTGGGCTGTGATCGCAACCCTAGAGCAAAAGAGAGAAATAATCAGTCAGTCATGATGCTGTTGAGTCCTTTATAATTCATGAACAAGATAGAATCATTCTGTTGTAGCTTCTGCAAGAGGATTCTCTTCCAGACTTTACCTGAGAAGGAGCTGAGAAGCACAAGAAAAGAGAGAACCCAGGCCATGCTGGAGTCTTTCATCTTTGTATCTCACAGGGACCGCCAACCACCCTTCTTATTTCTTAAGCCTCCCAGGAATGGAAGGAGGGCTTGTCATGTAAATTGCTTCCCTCCTATGTCTTTGCAGGAGACCCACACCTCCTTTCGGGCAGGGGCTTATTGGGGTGTGCCAATGGGAAGCAAGACATTTGCATGTAAAAAAATAATTTAACACAAAGTTGATGTGTGCCTGGTTTGGTCTAACACAGCAGGTGGCAGAACCCCTTCTTTTCCTGGAGTAGGGGGTAGAATCTTGGTGGGTTCTCTCAAACTTTGTTAACCCCACCTTCAGATCTAAAACGGTTGAGTGTGTGTACCTCTTACCTCAAAGAGGTGAAACCAGGCATCAGTTTAATTGTGTTTGGAAGAAGGAATGGGGATCCCCCCAAAAGAGATTTAGGGGTGAACCAGATCCTTCAGTTTCTTAAATATTGCTACCTGGTGAGCCAATTAAATAGAGAAGCTGTGCGTTAAAATGTGAGCTTTGTTTCCCCATAAACATTTTGGGGGGGGGGTACCATGTGAGACAAAGAAGAATCCACTTCTTTTTTGGTGGTGGAGGAAAAGAATTTTGAAAAACCTCCAGGGACAGGATTTGACCTTAATATTAAGTAGTTATATTACATTTTTATTGCTTCAGTTGCTTTTTTTTTTTTTTTAACATCCATGGCCCCTACAAAATGTATAGCAAAGGGATGTTTCTCCACCTCAGCAACTTCCAGATGTGTAGACTTTAACTCCCAGAATTCCTCAGCCAGCATGACCTCTGCAGAATTCTAGAAGGCCACAACACATCTGGAATTGTCACAGCTGAGAATTATGATACTGGGGGGGTAACATGTGCAATAAATAATGGGAAAATTGCACACCAAAATATGGGTATTTGTGGAAAGTCAGATACCAGGACACTCAATTTCCAGAAGCGTTCAGCAAATGTGTACAATAAAGAAAATATTCCTATTAGGAAAAATGCAGACCACTTTCTATTACTTAATTTTACTTTTATTGCTTGCTTTTTTAAAAAAAAAAAAATTGCAAAATGTGCAGGATAAAACAGATGATTGGCCAGAGGGGAAAAAATGAGGCAATTGATATAAACTGAAATTGAGGAAGTTGACAATTCCTTGCAAGGGGAGACAAATGTTTTTTGTCTCAGTTCCTCTTGAAAATGGGTCACTCCATGGATTACTCAACACCACTGGCAGGGCTGTGATCCATACTCCAGAAATATGTTGCCTCCATCTTCATTGGTGATAAACAGTGGATGTTGTCAGACTTGGAGACAGAGAATCGCATTGGAGTTTCATTCCCTCTTTGATTGTCTCCATACCAGAAGAACCTAGGACATTTCTCTGATACCTGTAGGTATCGTCCAACGCTATAGCCCCTGTGTGCAGTGCTCAAAATGCAGGAAATCTTGACTGATTCTCCAAAGGTCACAGATGCTGAAGGTGAGTCAGAACTAGCTGTGGACTTCCATCTAGAAGGGGGACATGAAATATCCAGTTCTGCTGCTGTTTCATACCACAGGGCTGTGCAGCATGATCCCTAAATATGCCTGATTCTATCAATCACAGCAATTGGCAGCATGGAACATAACCATCAAAAGATTCTAGAAAGGAAGTCAGGATATTTATCGAAAACTGAATTATCATCAAGTGTTGAGAAAGTTCTTGAAAGATCATATAGTGAACCATCTACTGCTGCATGATTTCCATTATTATAACCACATTTTCAATATTATAGATTGTATTGCAATAGTTGTCTAATCTTTTAAAAAAAAAATTAATGAAGGAAAGTTGGGCAAGTTTAAAGTCAATTCTTCCCATTACACCCTCCCAACGTTCTTCTTAATAATCAACTAAATACCCATTTAATAGATATAAACCTTAACAGAACTACCCATATACGGTTCTTTTATTTCCTTACCTAAAGAATAAGAGAACACAATAAAGAGGAGCAGGATCCTGGTCATGGTGGAGAACCTCTTGACCAGCACATCAAACCTGGAGGATCATGAGTGGAATTTTCCATTAAAAGTTGTAGAATTTTGCTCCCCTTTATGCAAATATAATTCTCATTGATTGGTTGCTTCTGGGAACACCCTTTTTGCTCCTACTGATTAACAAGTTGGCGTGTAATGTTTTCACCTCCTAATTCATATCCACAATAGATAAACTCAATTAATTCTTGGCCTCTGGGAAGAAGGCATCTTGTTACTGAGAAAGTAACTGTGAGTCTTAAAACATCTCCCCCCTGCCCTGCCCAGGCTTAAACAGAATCGGGTAGTTGCTTCAATGAACAGCAGAGAGGTGCTGTGGTCACACAGGGTCTAAAGCACTTTACCACCCAGGTTTGTGAAGTCTTTGTGTGTGTGTGTGCATGCCTTCGAGTCAGTTTTTGACTCCTGGCATCTGTCTGAAGGAGTCCCTGCAGTTTTCTTGGCAAGTTTTTTCGGAAGTGGTTTGCCCTTGCCTTCTTCCTAGGACTGAGAGAGAGTGACTGGCCCAAGGTCACCCAGTTGGTTTTGTGCCTAAGGTGGGACTAGAACTCATGGCCTACCAGTTTCTAGACTGGCGCCTTAACCAGTACACCAATCTGGATCCTTTTTTTGATGCCTTCAAGTCAGTCTCGACTCCTGGGGACTGCCTGGACAAGCCCCTGCAATTTTCTTGGCAAGATTTCATAAGTGACTTGCCATTGCCTGCTTCCTAGGGCTGAGAGAGAGTGACTGGCCCAAGGTCACCCAGCTGGCTTTTGTATCCAAGGCAAGTCTAGAATTCACGGTTCCCCAGTTTCTAGCCTGATGCCTTAACCATGACACCAAACTGGCTCTCAAAATCCAGTTGCCTCCCCCAAAAATCTTCACTGCAGACTTCTAAGCTTTGCTGTAATACTTGTGGCCAACCCTAACACTAATCTGTTGGTCCTCAAAATAGCAAAACAGTAATGAGACTGTCTTTAAGCGAGCACCCTTGCCACACAAACACTACTGGCTGAACAACAATCTGAAAACATGGTTGAAATCAGTGAAAGCAGAGTTTTTCTTTTGTTCCTTAGTGGATGTTTTTGTTTCAGTTCCCCTTGTGACTATACTGCTGTGGTTTTGAAAAGTACTCCCCATACCATGGTATGTACTACAGTAATAGGTAGCTTCATCCTCTGCCTGGACATGGGTGATGATCAAATAGTGCTTGTTGTGAGTTTTGGAGCCAGAAAATCGACCTGGGATACCTTCCCCTTGTATGTTATCCCCAAAAAGGATGAACTGAATGCCTTGTCCCAATTTATCTTGATACCAGCCAACATTGTAATTCTCAAAACCACTGCTGAGTGTGCAAGGGAGTCGCACCTCACCTTGAAGAGATACAGACAGTTTAAGTGGCTGAGTCAGGACAGGCTGGCTGAGGACATCTACAAAGAAAGACAAGAAGAGATGTTCAGCCGCGTCACCCAAGTGGAAGAGCAATGATCAATGAGAACACAGGAGAAAGAGCATCCTTGTCTAATTCAGGTTGTAAATTAGAAACTTTACCCTCTCACCTGAGCAACAATAGACAAGAAGAAGAATGCTCCAAAGCATGTTGGGAGGGTAGGATCAAGAGCCTTTAGACATCTGAGCACTGGTGAGCATCATCACCCCTTTTAAGTGGTTTATGCAAATGTTCTGGTTACTCTTTGGCTCCGCATGTGCTCTGGACCTTCCCTTTTTGCTCCAGATGATTTATCAGGGAGCTGGACTTCTACTTGCTTTCTATTTGGTCTTCTCTCAGGTGTGTTGCAGGATAACCTCAAGTGGAATAAAAGCTTTCCTTAAAGTGAAGACCTGAAAGCTGGAGTGTATAGATGTCCCGCATGAAATGAGGAATAAGCAGTCTGGGATTTCTTAGAAAAGAGATCTCCAAGAGGACCTCTTTCTTCAGCAGCTCTACATGGACCACTTTATTTTCATTTCTGCCTGGCTTGTTCTTTTGGGCTCAGCCCATACTAAGGGACATAGGACTCCCCTCATCAATTTCCCCATCTTCAACAGCTACATGAAAAACGGATATGCAACAAATAGGGCTGTGTGAATAGCCAGCCTCTGACCTGAATTCTTGATTCCAGTCACTGATTCCATTATAATCATTGAAGCTTCTCAGATCATCTGAAATTACTGAATTCATATCCATTCAGATTACCTTTGTACGAGCACACATATATTTTTAGTGGCCAAGCATTCACTATAGCTCACTAAATCATTAATTCAAATAGGATTGGTAATGCCAACAACGTGATGGTTTGAATCCGATCAAGGCTGATTCGTACACTACTAGTAAACAAGGTCTTCACTAGCCACATACATTTAGCCAGGGCAAATAAAAGAGAATTTGATTTCCTTTCTTCATTCATGAGAAGGAAAGAATGGGAGATATTTTAGAACCTGAATTTTCTGCATACAAAGCAAGAATTTTATCTCTGAATGTGGGCACTAGCAGAAATTGGCAAAATATTTTAGCTAGTAGCCTATGGATGATGATGATGATGATGATGATGATGATGATGATGATGATGATGATGATGAACATTATGTGAAGACCTAGCTCTCTGGGAGGCTGAGTTCTAGTCCCATCTTAGGTACAAA